GATACCCTGGCGAAGCATGTCCATTGTTTCACATCGGCTGTCCCAAGGGATTTTCGCCTTCTCAAGATAAACGTCCCAAGGTTGTTTTGTTTACTAGAAGGACATGTCTTTTGGCAGAATTTCTTGTATTAATTTCCATTGCACAAACAAGTAGCAAATATTGTTACTGAAGCACAGAATTTGCATGATTTTTTCTCCCCGGCCATTCACACAAACTGCAAACGAAATCTTTCACCTTTCCAGTTGTTGACACTTTGCAACCGCCTTGATGGATGTATTTTGACCCCGGATTCTGACCTTGCATTCCAGCTAAATTTACTGCCCTTTCATACCAGTTCAATTTCCTTTAATTATTACATCCAAATTTCATGATATTTAATATTTAAAACCAACCTTTATTTCACAGTCGCTTTAGTTTTCACTTTTCTAAAATTATTTTACAGATCCAAAGACTTTTCACTCCCATCATGCAATCTCCCATAGTACTTCCGCAGACACAGTGGCGATCGCCAACATATCTACAAATAACCTCGCTCTCAGGAGCTGAGGAATGATATATTGGTTTGCATACAACACAAGAGGGCGCACTTGAAGGGACGTCAGCAGTGCGTATCAGCAATATCTAATAAACCTAATCCGATATGCATAGTGGCGCAAGCCGCTTTTGTGATTAACGTAACTTTAGAGGGCAGGGTTTAATTATGCGATTTCCAAAATGTATCAAGTTATGAATACTATCTAGAAATAGTCGAGTTTGAGTCGCGACGACTTTGTGTTCAGACGCTCTTGCCATAAAGCGGACAATGGGACAGAATATATAAGTGCCATACGTAACTATTGGAATGTACTGTGATTATCCTAAGAGAGCGACCCAGAATACAGAATTCCTGGCACCTTATATTATTGACGATAAACACACTGTTTACATGACAGTAAATCTGAACAATATTGATAAGTCAGTAGAAAGCTGTTTGAAAAATTTAGGCAAAAATAAAATAGTTTTACTTCTCGTCTTCGCACGCGATGGTTTAAACCTGCGACTCGCACGTTTGTTTTTCAATTTCGCGTATTTGTGAAGTACGCCGCATTCTGGCCACGCTGTGTGGCGCGAATCACGTGGACGGGTTTCATGTTCTCTGCACGTAATAAGCTCGGTTATTAAGCATCCTTTTTGGGGGATGCCCGGTGGCCGAGGAGAAGACGTGTAGTGGCGTGAAGCTAGGCGTTTAGGTGCCGTACGCGAGCGCCGGTTCGAGTCACGCACGCAGTACGTGTTTACTATAATTAGACAGTCTTTACCTTGCCGTTTATTCGGTGTTATTTGTTTACGTTATTGTTGGATTATGATTTATCTTACAGTATGTTTCTTTAGAACAGTAATTGGGGAACTTTATAAATAGATTGTTTACTAATTGTACACAGTAGTAGCAACTTCGCAGTCCTTTAACCGAGAGACACATCACTGGTAAGTTTTTGCAAGAGAAGGAGGCAGAGAGGCATTACCTCAGCTAACAGTTTTGGCTGAATATACTAGTAGCTAGACTATCCTCGGGGGCGGAGCTACGTCACAGACGTTCTACGTTGCTAAGACGCTCACCACTGTACCACGTATTTCTATGGGCTTTGTGCGCGCTGCTGTGGAACGCCGGTGGAGCCGGTGAAAATTCGAGAAAACAACACAAACTCTACTTTGAAGTAATCCTGAACAACCAAATTCACATATGTTACACACGTAGGGCTAATCTTGTTACGCTGTTCAGGGGACTCTCAACAACCATCGCAAAGTACCGTTTTCTGCGAGTTTTGTTCTTAGTTTTCACCGCGAGGGTTGCCAGGCTGTAGAAAATGCCCGGATGTCCGCCCCCCCCGAGGATACGTAATAAACTTATGTGTATTTCTTTGGGTCGAACCTGGTAGCCCTACGTGTAAGTGTTATCAGCCAAGCAAATCAAAGTCCCCCCCCCCGAACATAAGGCTTTGTTCACAACAAAAGTATGCCCTCTATGGCAATTCAATACAAATGCCCTATATTGCCAAAATTCTAGCTGACTGTAAAAGTCACCTGAGAATCAAAGAAAGCTTAGCAGAGGATACTGTAGAATACTTATTTTCACGGAAACATTCCTTCAGCGAAAATAAATTCCAAGCGAAAATAAAGTTTTCATATATATTTCACATTAAACTTATCAAAAATCAGTGAAAGTAAATTCCATACATAACGCCCAAAAAGCCTTTTCAGCAAAAATTAATTCCAGCGAAAATAAAGTATTCCACAGTATTTGACGCACATAGGTAAAATAGAAAATATTTGTAAAATCATATACAAAGTAGCCTTGTGAGTATAGCTCTAACCTCTGAGATTCATAAGGTGCAAGCAATATGATAGAAGTATATAATACTAAGAAATTCTTTTTCTTAGCAAACATGGGATGATGACACAATTTTTGCAGGTTTCACCAGTTTGACCACAGGGGTGCTATACAGTGTCTGAATAAGTGTAAAGAAAAGATTGAACCTCAATTTTTTTTGGTGGTTGACTGGTAGTCAGAAACATACCGGGGGTAATTGTTTTTTAGTTCTTAAAGCAAAATGTTTTATTGTAAATATGTAGTTTGCATTGTCATTTATCTCAGGATACCTGTGCACCTAGTTTAATCTGACAGTTATCAAGATATCAGAAAACTGTCTATAATATGCAAATTTTAAATCTAAAATAATCTGCAGGGATTACCTCTAGAGAACTTATGAACCAAGTTTCATTAAAATGTGACAATCATAGTTCATGAGATATTAGTGGGAAAGCTGAAAATTGACTACCAGTAATTATAGAAATTATGCAACTTAGATCAAGTCTGGGCATTGCCCTGGTTGTCTATGTATCAAGTTTTATTGTAAACATAATGATTAGTTCTTGAGATATCAGTGAAAAGGTAAAAATTAACCAATTATTATGCAAATTATGTACTTAATATACAAGGATTATTACCCAAAAGTAATCAGATAACTAGGTCTTGAGATGCTAGTAATTCTGTTAGCACACAGACAGACAGTCAGTCAGTCAGATACAAAGACAGACAGTCAGACAGACAGACAGACAGTCAGATAGACAGACAGACAGACAGACAGACAGACAGACAGACAGACAGACAGACAGACAGACAGACAGACAGATAGATAGACAGGGTACACCTGGAAGCCAATGAAAAGAGTTGTAAAATTGAGATTACAGATGACATTGATTTATTGCAACAAAAAATGAATTGTATTCTGGAAAAAAAAAACAATTGACCAGAAATTGGCTTTATTTAACAATATGCAATCTATAAGTAAAAATTTTTCATGTGCAATTAACCATTTCAAATAAAGATGATATAATTTTGGTAACATTTCATTTAGGTTTCATCCATAATTGCTTGTACAGCAAAAAGTAAAACATTTTCAAAATTATGTACATTCCAGTTAAAATAACATAAAGCATATGCTCTTAACATGCATAGATAGAATCAACCATTGGTGAATGTAATCACTTAGTTGACTGTAATTTGAAAATTGACTGAAAATTAGAAGTATCAATCTTCTGGAAATAACATGATTTATGCAGACAGCATTTAAATTGACCAATGAACAAAGAGTATTCAACTTTCGGCCCACTGTATGTGACATTTGAATAAATTTGCATGACTAATAAGATGTAATAAACTGTCCACCAATGGCTATGCGTTAATATATGCCAGTTGAATAAATTTGCATGGCTAATGAGATAAACTGACCAAAATGGCAAGGTGGTTATCGCAATGGTCACTGTGAACCTTGAAAGCACATACAAAACTAGGCTACACATTTTCTTATGCTCCATCCCAGGATAGTTTGCAGACACACATATTTCAATTTTGTGGATATTTCTCAAAACCTTGAATGAAACAAGAAAATCATATATTTTAACTTTCATTATTTATTATTTTATTTTCCTGCCAAAATGTTGGGGGAACATTAAATAAATTTCATATTTTTTTATGATTTCTTTTCCAATTTTCGACCAATTGGACATAATTTCCCATTTCCTACAGATCTTGATCAAAACGAAGGAAAAAATATTTTGTGAGACATATTTTGACTTGGGTGCTTAAAACATGCCCAGTAAATGCGCTGAAAAACAACAATATATGTCCATGTCAGCTATTTGATCAATGTAAATATGTACTGTAAAATACTTTATTTTCGCTGGAATTAATTTTCGCTGAAAAGACTTTTTGGGTGTTGTGTGTGACATTTTTTTTCACTGATTTTTCACAAGTTTAATGTAAAATATAGAAAAAAAGGTAATTCACTGGATTTTATTTTCACTGAATCATTCCTTCAGTGAAAATAATTTTGAAGGGAAAATAAAGTATTCTACAGTATCTGGAAAAAACACTGCAGTTTGGATGTACATATATTGAGTAGTAGACAATGTGGACCTTTGAGCTGACCATGGAAATACTGCTAAAACATGATACATTTCATGAAATCGTTAAGAATCCTCACTCTCATTCATAACTACTTTTTTTCATAAACTTCATACTTGAACTGAATTCCTTTCTCTTCTTGGATTTCGCTTGGTACATCCGGGTCACTGTGAAAACATAGTGGTGCAGAAAAAATACAACTGCATTATAATTAGAATTATATTATAGCATTGTCAATACCAGTGAATTTTATGACGTCATTGCCACAGATTATTTGCGATAATGTATTGCATTATTGAGCATCAGTATGAGTTTAGAAAACAAATAAAGAGACTGGCATTTAATAATAAAGGAAGTTATGGGGTGAAAACGATTAAAATCAAAACTGAAAATGAATAACTCTGTTTTATATGAAAAATAATTATTTGTTCTTAGTTTACATGAAAAATGTCATTCTCGCCATAACGACAAACACAAATCGTTGCAAATCCCAACTTTGCGAGAAACACTCATTACTGATGTCCAACGCATAAATAAACGTAGCTCACCAAAGGCAAATACGATGGCTCGTTTTATCGATGTCGACGAATCCCAGTTATATGTGCTCGAAAATGCAAGAAATGAAAAAAATACTTCACAGCGGACTAAATGTTTTTTTCCTAGAATGGCTTGAATTCAAGGGGCATGCGCCACCAATTTTGAAGACCTTCCTGTCGTTGAGCTCGTCGACTTGCTGCGGGAATTTTACGCTTCAGCTCGCAAGCAAGATGGGGTGTCTGGTTTACGAGCTTCAATCCATCGACACATCACTGGTCACCCCGATCATCGCAACGTTAACATCATATAGGATAGGGAGTTCTAAGTTTGTCTATTTTTTGTATACATGTTATTTTGAAATGATTGCTGCACATTGATGATTGCTGTGTTGTGCTTGTGTGTGTGAAATTGTTGCTTATTACAAGGCCCATATAATGTAGAGGCGATTCTGTTGAATGTTTTCAGTCATTTCTTCCAAATTATCAACACACTTTGCACTCCATAATGTGCTTTTGTCGTGCAAAGTGTGTATTCATTCATTATGAGCCATCGGGGAGTACATTATTGTTTAATTATAACTACCATAATAATTTTGATAATAATAACTATTCAACAAATTGAACACACAATTGTTTTCAGATTCAGATGATCAAGATTTGTAAGCAATGCAAAGTTATCTGTATTTGGTTCAAAAATAACAAAGAAAGTATAAAAAAAATGCATGAAAATGTAGCTAAAAATTGTGGCGGGAAAAATTCTGTTCTGTACAGCTATTTGTCACAATGATTCTATACTCAAGTTGTCTTGAATACTTCAGTTGGGCATGCGCATTCGGAAACCCCAAGTAATGTACCTCTGTTACTAGTAACTGAAATAATCTGCATTAAAAACCAAACATACTAGATAATAATCGCTGTCAAATGGAAAAATAAAATGATGTTCTATGCAAAGTGTTGTTTTCGAAAAAAGTTTGTTACAAATTTGTTCAACTGCTCAATGTCCATTCAAACATATTTTTTAACAAAAAATACTTGTTCTAAATAGAGAATTGAAGATATTGACGCAAAATAAACAAATCTGACAGAGGTCCAGCCAAGTTACCTACATAACCAAGTATCAAAACAATTGAGCTAGTAGTTTTCAAGAAGTAGTCGAAAATGCAATTGATAAACGGACATACAATCACCAATATGAAAAGCTCCACCCACTACAATGACTGTGGAACTAAAAAGCAGAGCAATTAATTCAAAGGTAATTTAGCTTTTTTTAACATTCTCATAACCACTAGTTAAAATAAAAATTGGCAAATTTTGTTTACCAAATGATGGGATAATTTATAAAGTTTGTTATATGAAATGCACATATATATGGAATGTTTTTACAGTTACAACTGTTGTTGAATATTCTTTTCAAGAACTATACATGTATTCATACTTTGTTAAGTAATCAAATATTTTAATGTAAACAAGAGGGTTGGGCAATGACTACTGTAAAAACATTTATTTTCACTATTTTAATGTTTTGAGCATATTCACTGTTTTTTAATTTCATGAATTTGTCAAGAAAACAATGAGTTTTATTTTTATTTTACATATTCACACAGATTTAATTTAGCGGATTTTAGCTATCAGCAAAAATAATCGAAATAAAACCCAGTGAATAATTAATGCATTTACAGTACATTTTTCTCACATTATAATGGCTGGATTTTTTTAAAATTCAAAAATACAGAAAATGTTTTAAATAATTTCATTATTTCAAATCATTTAAAAATTAATAATTTAAATTAAAATATCTATTTTAAATGGCAGTCAAGTGAGGATCCCTCATGAATCCTCAGCTTTGGCTGTTACTGTATGGCCCAACAATAAACCTATCCATCAAGTTTATTTATAGCCATATTGTGAATATTTGTTATAATCCAGCTATCAAATCTGAAGTGATGGCCAACATGAAAGTATATCGTTTTATATGGGCTGATTTATCAGTAGAAAAGTATAATATTGACCAATTATTAAACAAATTAAGTTAATTAATACTGTAGAATACTTTATTTTTGCTTGGAATTTATTTTCGCTTGAGGGATGATTGCGTGAAAATAAAATCTAGCGAATATACTTTTTTTTCTATATTTCACATTAAACTCATCAAAAATCAGTGAAAATAAATTCCATACAAAACGCCCAAAAAGCCTTTTCAGCGAAAATTAATTCCAGTGAAAATAAAGTATTCCACAGTATGCATTTAACCTAATATAAATCCAGTCTTCATACTGTCAAACAACATCTATAAACAATGCACACATAGTTTCATAATACGTACATGTACATTGAATGTAACTGACACACTTACCTGACAAGATTGAATAAATTTGTGTCAAATTCTGGGAAGAATGTATCGCAGTCAAAGTCGGCCATTACCCTAGTGAGGTAAATACGATAACATGCCGCTGATTCCAGAGATTCCTACAAGATGAAAACAGAAACAATTTGTGTTTAATTGAACAAGGATAATATACAAAATACTGTAAAATTGCAGCTGGAATTAATTTTTACTGAAAGATATTTTGTCTGCTTTGTATGTATGCATTTTGACTGATTTTTGATGACTTGAATGTAAAACATGGAAAAAAAGATATTCTCGGTGAATTCATTCCTTCAGCAAAAAAAGTGAAAATACAATAGTTCATAGCATTGTAACTAGGCATATAG